TAGTTTTTTTCATGGATGCTTCTAATTCCCTTACGTAAGTTGACGTTGTAAGTACAGCTGCCGATGATGTTTTGCGTCCTCGAGTTGAAGTCTTTGTTTTGGGCTTCGGGATAGGTGATATATCATGCGGTAAAACAAAAGATGATTCAGAAGCGCATGAACCGGGATGATCATTGAGAATCGTGTTTTCTACATGATCATTGATTGTCGAGGTCCCAGGCTGTACATCTGTTGCTAATTATCACTGTTGTTATTGCCGATGTGTTATGTGGTGATGTCGATACTGTTGATCACGGTTGAGGTTGTCCCAGGAAGTCAGCCTCGATAAATATGTGGCGATTGCACGGATATATACCGGTGATTTTGAAGCCATTTACAGCTATCTCACCTGTTACGCCCCTTAAATAAGCTTTTCCAAATAACTCTGCAATGTCATGTGGCTTTAGAAGTCTGCCAGAATGCAACAAAAATTTTCGAATCTCTTCACTGTAGTGAGATTTAAGAGCTCCCATGAATGTGCGGTCAAGAGGCTGGAGCTTGTGCGTTGTGTGGGGGGGCAGGCTAATAATAGTAACATGGTTTTTGCGAGCAAGTTGTAACGGTTTCACCGTCCGATTGTATTTATTAAATCACTTCTCGATTATCATTTCAGAATCGCAATTCATTAATCCCATCTCTAGCTTTTTTACTTGGAAAATTTTCCGCTTGGAGCCCGCTTGATGAGGAGTTCCTGATCTGTGATCTTCCTCGCGCTTCCTTTTCACTTGAGCCGCCGATCGAACAAGAGCTAAGAATTTTCTTCTCTGTAGCACAAGGTCATATAGCACCATGTGCTAGAATTTGGTAGAATGTGTGTCCGAATAGGACAAAATGGTGAGTTTTATAATACCTTACAGTTTTATTGCTGGATCTGCCTGTAGTTTATAGATAATCGATATGTAAGTGATTAATTTCTTGTACGATTTTAAAATATCCATTGAACGTCATTTTCGACTACTTCGATCATTCGCCATAACTTTAATCAAATCGAGGTGGAAATCGATCCACATCGATTTTACCTCTGTGTGCGTATATATATTCATAGTTCAGTGAAATTATAAGTACGTTGATTATGAATATTCGATATTTGTGTTTTTATATCAGAAGCATGTGGAGAAATTTTTGATGACCACCATCTTGTATTACGCTTTTTTTTGCTATTTCATGATCTTATTTTATGAAAGGCATTTCCAATTTTCGGTTTGATTTTATCAAACTATGTAATGTAATTCTAACCTAGAAAATCGTTGGTTCTCTTTTGAGGCAGACTGAGATTGGAAATGCCTTGGCCATTAGGGCACGTTGCTAATGCACACGGTTCTTTTTCAGATTGGGGCCACCCCCTTTCTCTTTCCCTTTCCCTTTGCCTTTGTCTTTGACTTTGCTTTTGCCTTTGTCTTTGACTTTGCATTGCTTGGCCTATCACTTCACCCATGCATGTGCCTTGGCAGCGCCATCGCCTTTAAGTTCAACTTCGCCTACAACTGGTTTTGAAGCCACTATATGTGAGGTCACCCCCTCATAACTGGGACCTCCACTTCAAGCACCTGGCCATCCTCGCTTCAGTCGAGTCAAAATGGACCAGCGAAAGATAAGTTGATAGTTTTATATCAGCGCCAAAGATTTAAAACTTATTTTGTTCTTTAAAATTGTAATGTAATGAAAATGCTTTTTTGTTAAATAAAATCTGTTAAATTTTTGTGTTCTGTTTGTTCTTCTATCCTCTAGCCATGCCATGGTCGACATATAGCTACACGCCTGTAGATGTCTTCATGCCACCGACTGAGCTACCGGAAGCTAATGCTAACCCCCTTTCTGTGATTGTGCAGAAAAGTTGGAATCTTCATTGCATTCCATCTTTTCTGGACTTTTTGCGGAAAGGAAGCGTTACAAAGTTGCAAAACTTCAAGGTTTCGAGTGTGGCTGTAATGTCCATCGAGTATAAGAAGTATGGGAGAGTTTTCTGTTGGGTGGGTTTTTTCTAAAAAATGCTCAAACCATTCAGTAAATAAATTGGTTTGAATCCATCCCGAAGGATGTACCCTTCCAAGTGCACCAGGGGGAGCTCCTTTCATTAAAACATCTGAAAAATTCTTCCTGGGGAATATCATCATTGGCGGTATGAAAGTGCCTCCAGCGCTCATTGCACTATGGTTATCAACGAACCGCGTTCTGCAGCAGTTAAAGCTCCGATCTGCCTTTTGCCCTTTCGACCCACTACTGCTGGTATTTTTGTTTGTACAATGGTGATGCCTGTTTCATCTACATTGTAGATGCGATCTGCGGGGTATTGGCATTTTATGTATTCGGCTTCCAAAATATCAAAAAACTTATTTATTGCTGCAGGATTAAAACCTTGAACTCGTGCATAAGAGATTACCGTAGGTTTTCTGAGAGACAACTGATGTTTGTATCTTTTAAGAAAATGATCCAACCATGCTCGACCTGCTATATCATTTTTAAAAGGATTAGGAATATTGTTTTGAACTGTCAACTGGTAGGCTATTTTTCTGACATCCATTCGAGTTAAGCCATAAAATATTTGCTCCATGTGCAATATATATTCCACTAATTTTTCTTCTAGGTAAGGTGGCAACACAGGCCTTCTACCTAAGAGCTTCTGTACAACTAGCTCTGGCGACAACTCAGTATTATGGACGAGCCTTCTTAGAGTAGTTCTTGGCACACCAAAACTTTTAACTGCCTTTTTAAAACCCATAGACTTAGTGCGTACAGCTTCAACTGCCCTTGTCATCTGATCGGAGCTCCACGTCTTTCTCTTCCTATCCCTCTTTGTAGACATAATTGTTCGGGGCATCTACAACAATTTAAAATAAATTAAGAGCCGAATGCAGCGTTGAGTTTATTTATAAATATATAAAAGTATCCGCAAAAATGTATTTAATATGGCCCCCTGGGCCATAATTCCAGCTTTTATAGGGGGCCATATTACATACATGGGTGTATTGTAAACACGTCACCAAAAAAAAAAATTATTCAAAGTACCTACCTTCGTAACACAGCTATTATTAGCCCTTTAGCTTTGTACAGAACACAATGAATATGTTTCTAAACCAACTGTCTAGACAAAAACGTGTTGAATCGATCACCAACGAAATTATCTACTACGCACGATACCACAGAATTGGCAATACTGGCCGAACCTGTCGATAAGTCGACCTCCTTCTTTCTTCTAAATATTGTTTGAGGACCGATTTGTGTTGTTTATTATAAAAATCATAGATGGCTCTCCGGTTTCTATGAAATTAAAAGGGGGGTCAAATTAACAGCAGGGGCCATAATACGACCTTCTCCTCTATAGTATTTTTCACGAGTAGAGATTACGGTAGAATGACAGCTGATTATCTAGTGATATTTCAAAATTCCCCATGTCGGCAAAGGACACATAATTCTGACGGAACCGTCAATACCAGGTAGACAGCCATATTTTTTTTTTGTACGATACAGATTCATTTTGTACTTGCTAAAAGCTCTTTTATTTAGAAAAGTTCATTTTCATACAAAAACAACACGCTACAAACAAGTTTTACTAGATTTACATTCGATTCATTATTAGCCACGTTGCAGACTAACACAAAAATGTCACCTGCTGAACAGCTGTTCACCTCACTGGACGTCAAAGCGTGATGTATACTCGTGAAATAGGGTATAGGTGTATATCAATCTCCTATTGTTTACGTCACTAGAAGTCAAAACGTGAAAAAGCTACCGGCTACCCTCCTATTAAATATGTCTTGTTTCCATCACCTCTCTCTGTGGCGTATACAGGGAAAACCAAATTTCAATGTGTACGAGAGAGAAGCGCGAGAAGTGTGCATCAACGCATGTTAGAAAGAGATAGAAACCGGCTGAAGCGCGAAGGTCATCACCACATTGCCTAGCAACGTTGACGCAGAAGGTCGTGCAATCTGCCGCGTTGCCATTACGTTGCACCAGAAAATGTTCGCATAAGTTGCTACAATATTATTTATTTCAATTTTGATGCGACTTAGTGTTTTAATTTATTTTAGAATTAATTTTGATTTCCACTAATGGTGATAAAATCAATACATCCTGAGTTACTGTTTGAGACAGCAAGCGGTCGGAAAATTTAACAAACACCAATTTCGCAATACAAATTATCAGTGCCTGCGTGAACGTAGGTAAAAACCATTTCGAGCAGGACGATACTCCCCCCCAATGAGCGCTAGATGGGTACTGACCAAAATCGCTCATCTATGATCAAGTAGGTGGAAACCTTGCCTTCGAATGTACGAGATGCGCCGTCAGGACCTATTAGGAATACAGCCTAAGCAGATTACGCTCAAAATAAAACCATTATTTGGGCGTAGAGAATAAACTATGCATATTTTCATCATGTATCTTAATTCAAGGAAATGGTGTAATATCTTGGCAACGCGGCAAATTGCCGCGTCAGTGTTGCTGGTCAACGCGGCGATGAGCTTCACTGTCCAGCTGGCTTCTATCTCTTTCTAACATATTTATCTATACACACTTCTCTCTTGCACACATTGAACTCAAGCCGTCAGACATATTTGGATTTCAGTGTACCTATAGAACTTGAGTTCATGTCCGACATCTTCAAAATCGTAAGTGGGCAACATAAAATATATTTATACCTTATCCTATATCCAGTTAGACAACGATTCGAAGGACACATTTTAGTTTGTTGGCGGGTTACGAATGATATTGCAAGGAATGTTATTTTGTGTCTAAAAAGATGACAACTTGTCTTTTGTTTTACTGCATAGCGGGAAAAACGAAGGTATTGTCCATGTATTTGAAGTGTGTAATTCAAAAGATGGTGGATAAAAACGAGCAAGTGTCTCACTAGGAAAATCGCCAAAGACATGTCGTTACATATTACATTTGTTTGTCTGATTCAAGCAAAAACATAAATGTTTAAAATTCCTCTTTATTGTATGACGTTTCGGTCCCAACGGCAATCTTTTTAAAGTACAATTGACACTTCTGACAATACATTTTGTTTATCTGTCTTCAAGATGACACTTCATTTACATTTTTCTTCATTTTCACATTCCTATTCAGTGTGTTACTACAATGGTATTTTTTCTTAATCATTACTGATTAGATATTTATGTTATGTTTGTATATCTCTCCATATGATACGAAATAACCATTAAAGCTTCAAAAACAAGCTTTAAATGTATGAGGCTACCATGGGTCTTAAAAAATCACACACAACATTTCAGCAGAAAAAACGGCTACCAAGGAAACAGTGAAAACCAAAATAAATAGTATGCGTGCTGGGTTTCGCAGAGAAATAAAAAAAATTGCAGAGTCCAAAAGGTCAGGAGCTGGGCAGGATGACATATATATACCACATTTATGGTATTACAATTTGTTGCTTTTCTTAAAAGATCAAGAGATACCCAGATCATCTGTATTAAACGTACCAGACGAGAACGTGGTGAATGAACAGTTTGGTTCAGATCAAGGAGAGGTAAGTAAAAAATTATCCATTTAGGTACTGTAATGTTTTATGAATAAGAAGCTTTAAGTTTTCTACAGGGTCTGTTGTGACTATTACTGTGTCATTTTATCTTGCCAGCTCAGAGCACCCTCATGACAGAAGTAATTCGTAAACAGTAGTCTAACTTGTTTTGCTTCATTGTTACTCCCTCGATTGTAACCGCGCTGCAGTCTTGTCATTCCAGTGCTTTCTAATCCTAAATCTATTGTGCCATCTTGTATATTTTCACTGTAAACGTTATCTTCTGGTACATTTGCAGTTCCACATTTTCGTCTTAAATAATTATGTAAAACACAGGCGGCCATGACTGCATTTTCAATTCCTTCTAAACTAATGGAAATCGCTCCTTGAAATATTCTAAAACGCGCACTCAGTATGCCAAAAGAATTTTGAACTCTACATCTTGCTCGTGAAAGCCGATAATTAAAAATGTTTCGGTCATTATTAAGTTCTTTCTGACCAAATGGTTTTAAAAAGTCGCAGCGCAAGGAAAATGCTTCGTCACCTATGAAAACGAATGGCATTATAGCTTTACTGCCTCTAGGTTTTCTTTGAGGCGGTAAAGATAAATTCCCATTTTTTAGTTTCTGATAAAATGTAGTGTGGTCAATAACACCTCCATCATATATTCGACCATTTACTCCAAAATCAACCATAATGAACTCATAATTTGCGTTGACTATAGCCATGAGCACTAAACTATGTCCTCCTTTGTAGTTATAGAAGTAAGAACCACTTCCAGCAGGGGGGAGTATATTAACATGTTTGCCGTCAACGGCTCCCACGCAGTTTGGGAAGTTACATTTCGTTTCAAAATCAGCAGCAATTGTATTCCATTCATCCTCTGTTGTAGGAAACTGCAAAAAATATTTAAATTAATTTACAGTATTTTTGTCATTCTGTTTGGTCGAGTTTGAGAACCGTTATGTGCAGCAAGTTGCTACTCTGGTTGCCTATACGGGCACATTACAATAAACAATATGCAATATTTAGGAAAATTGTTTTTCTTTATTTAGAAGGTTGACACTCTGACAACTGAGTTTTAATTCGAAAATCTTATCCTTAAAGTTTCAAAAAACTTCATGCAATTTATTACATTTTTATTTTAGGAAATTGGGAATGCCTCAGAATCTGAAAGTGAAGGATGACGTAGTTCATTACAAAGCCCATTGGATGCCCGACCAAGTACTAGTTATGGAACTCACGGAGCAGAACACGATACTGAAGAATTTAGTAGTTCGGTACAGAGCCCATTAAGTAGTAGGTCCGGCACCCATGGAAACAAATCGTTAATTCCACCTACAACTCGTTCTACAAAGAAACGTAGAGCTAAAGCAGATGCCCAGACAGACGAAGTTCTTGCTCTTGTTTCAAAAAGGCTAAAGTGCAGTATGTTGCAGCGAAATTGAGAACTCTTCCAACAGAAACAAAGTTATACACGGAAAAGCTCATCAATGACCTATTGTTTGAAGCAAAAATGGGTATAGTGTTACCAAAGCAACAAAAATTGTTTCGCTACTCGATTCAGCAGATTATAACTCCCAAGTTACTTTAAACAGAAACGGTTCCGCTACTCTTTATTATCCTCAGCATTATACCTATCCATCGCAGTTTGCGCCTCCCCAGCAACATGTGTCACAAAATTCATTTCATACCTGTTCATTTCAAAAACCACAGAAAATGCAACCAATAAAACAGGTATCTACTGTTCAGCCACTTGACAACGATGTGTGCGAAACAGATAACCTTGCCAGTTTTCTAACTAACTTTCAACAAAACTAATATTTAAGACAGTTTTGGCTTTGAATGTATTTTTCCTTTTTTTCTCAAACTTTCATGTTAGCTTTAAATACTTATCATGTTTATGTTTAGTTAATTAATAAAAATTGACATCCTTAAAGTAACATTAAATGGGGGCTCGCGAAATCGAGACCAAATAAAGCCTATTCAAAAGATAGAGAGAGCAATATCATTGCTTTTTTAGATCGAGTCGTGAGCCCCTTAATAATAACGTATTATTTTATTTAGTAGTGCATCCTTTAATACCTCATAAATAGCATTGCAGGTCTCCGGAATCATTTTACTTAGCGATTAAGGTGAGATGATACTAGAAAATTTCAAATCTTCATAGTTCCTGCAAGTAGCTAGGTACCGAAGGGTAACAGAGTCTTTCATGAGGTGATATGGTAGACCTCATGCACGTGTCTTGTTTCTGGATCAGTGGCGATACTTAATTTAAAAGTAATACATAGCTATCCTCATCCATGCGGAGATAATTTCGATAATCATCCGGTTCTAAACGAAGTTCTTCCAGTAGATTTACTTGTGAGAATCGATCACGCTGCAACAACCATTTCTTTACCCATTTACTTCGTGGCCTGCGTTTATTCATTAATCGATTTTGTTTTTTCTTGATTATACACACGCACGCCACTGCTAATAAATTTAAATCAATATCACTCTGACGCCATGTTTATTAGCAAGCTGGACAGTAAATGTTCTTTACGTGTGTAGGCAATTCGAATAAAACGTACTTGAACGCGCATACGTATCTCAAGGAATGTTCGTGTGTCTGTAGGCGCCTTTAGTCAAGAAATGTTTTTTTTAATAGCGCGTTGATCACCGCATGCTACGATATGACAGGTCCGCGGTCCGATAGTCGTTCACACCGTTGACAGCGCACTCAAGGCCGGTCCGAAAGCCTCCGTGAGCACATTGGTATGAGCGCGTGACGTCACCTATTGCGTCACGGATAGCGTTTACGAGACGTTCACGGCGTACAGGCTGCAAGGCATGAGCGGGTTAAGCGCTTGCGCTGTTCGCGGCTATCGGACCGCGCAATGCGCGTTTATTACCACGACCGAGCAATTAGGCGGGAACAAATTTTGGAAAAATAATTATTTATACCTTTTGTGTATATTATGGCTGACGTTGAAATTCCGGTGCAGGCTGAAGGACAAGAGTTGCTATCATTGATAGTGAGTGCAGCTGATGCCGCGAAAATCTATTCCGGAGGTAAATAGAATCAGCTTGCTGATGAAATATAGAGACTTGCAAAGACTCAATTGCGTTCATTTATATTTTCAAGTCTTGGCCAATTAATAATAGTTATTCTTTGTCTTTATATTAGATGAGGCTCTATTAAATCGTCTGTACCACGATGTTATAGAGGAAAAAAACAAAAGCCATCCAGACCAGAGCGCATCAGCTTGTACGCCGACCGCTGCACCTATTCCTTGTTCTACTCTTCCCCCTGCATTTCCTCATCCACTTGAAGAAGAAGATGAAGCTATCAGTGGTCCTGCTCCACCTGGAGTAGAAAAGGCAGATGAGGAAGATAAGTTTTTGTGGCCTACACAAATGGTTTTTCTGCTATTGTCTAAATTCGAAGAGTATAGGCCACAATTTGATGCGGGGGAGAAAACCCATAAGTCATTGTGGTTACAAATTGCAGAAGATATTAAAAAGCTAACTGGATCTACCCTTTCCCATAGTCAACTTCAGTCAAAGTTAAATGGCCTCAAAAACCGATACAAAATAATATTGGCGAGGAAGGGTAGATCTGGTAGTGGCACTATTAGATGGCCGTACCTAGAGCGGATGGAAGAATTATTTGGTCGCTGCGCATGGGCCAATCCCAAGGCCACTGCTGACGAAAGGGGCCCCATTCAGCCAGAACCCATTGCCAAAAAAATGAAGAAAACAGATGTCACTGCCCTAGAAAAATTAAAATTACGGAAAGAGAAAGAGGATCGAAGTAGAGCCAGAGAAGAAAAACGTATGCAGGCACTGCAGGAATTGATGGAAATGAAGGAAAGGCACCATAAAGAAAAAATGGATGCTCTAAAGAAGATAGGCGAAGCTTTGGCAGGGCGTAAATTATTTGAAGATGAAAACTAGGCTTCGTGTATTCGGGTTTGGTCAATTTTTGCATATTTTTATTTTTTTTGTTTGTTTTGATAATATTCGTTGAATTCTGTTCTGTTGTGTCATTTCCTAAAAAAAATTATTTAAACCAATGTCATTTTTAAAACAAATACACTGAAATATTTTCCAATCAGACTGTATTACAAAAATAGTAACACATTTACTAAATGTTTCTAACAGAAAGTTCATTCATGATGCGGTCTCTCTTTGCACTACCTGCAGCTCTCCTTGTGGCATCATCTATTAGCATGTCTCTTTGCTGGACAAGAGGGGTATCATTTATAATTTGTGGTTCACTAAGAACAAACAAGTCATCTCTTTGAATGCAAATATTATGCAATACTGCAACTGCTAATAGGTATTCAGGTATTTGTTCCATCGTGACCATGGGAAGTCTGTCAAGAATTCTCCTCCAGCGATTTTTCCACACACCAAATGCTCTCTCAATCGATGTTCTGGCAGATGATAGACAAAAATTATAGTTTTTCTGTAGTGATGTCAAGTGACCATTGTCCTTATAAGGCACCATTATACAGGGATGGATTGGATAAGCCGAGTCACCAACAAGGTGGCTATCATTTGGAAAGTATCGTGCTGGGTCTGCCATATAATCAGGTATTCTTGATAAGCTAAATACACGGGCATCATGAACTGACCCAGCATGTCCAGCATATACACTAGTGAATACTAGCTTGTAAGTACAAATGCTTTGCACTTGGACTGATGGATATCCCTTTCTATTGCAATATGCATTATGTTCATCATCTTTGGGTTTATTAATTTCAATGTGAGTCCCATCTATTGCACCAATAACTCCAGGGAAAGCACTAGCACGTACAAATTCTCCTATCACTTCTTGAGCTCGTTGTCCCTCAGGCCACCTTATGAATCTAGGAGCTAAGGTATGTAGAGCTCGACAAACTCTTCGCATTGAACGTACACAGGTTGCTTTCCCTACATTAAACTTTGTGCAAGCAGACCTATATGAATCGGGAGTTGCCATTAACCATAACACCAGTAGCAGTTGAGTCTTTGCAGGAGTTTGTGGTCGAGAACTAGGCCCAGCTGTGCTTAACAATGGTCCAACATGTCCCAAAACAAATTCGAAAGTTTCTGGCAGCATTCTAAAATGCGTTTTAAATTCTTCTGAGGAGAAACCCGGCACTGTGCGTTCTACAAACTCTTCAATGCGAGGCCTCTTTTGCATCGGTCCTCTTCTCTGTACCGCATATACTTCAACTCCATCGGTTTCTTCACTAGAGGATGACGAGAAAATTAATCTGATGAGTTCCTCATCATCTGACGATGAATCTAGTGTTTCCTGGAGTGCACTAACAATGGCAAAAGCACGATTTTCGTTCATTTTCACTAAATACAATAAACAAAAGTACCAAATTTTTTCAATTGCGGTTAAAACTTTTTTGTTTGTAAACAAGCACTTGCAACTTGCAAATCTAGCGGTCCGAAAGTCGTAGCATCCACACGGGCAAACACACCGCAAACCAATCGGACCAAGCCGCCAACGTATTCATGTCCTTGAGCGGATATAGTGACTTACGGACCGCGACCCAGGTTAACTTACCTGGGATTTCAGTCCACATCAGGTAGCTGAATTGGACAACTTTTTCCTGTAGACACTGCACTAAGTATATTTTCGCCAGTCTTTGAATAAAATGAACACTAGTTTATCAATCTCCTTGTTCTTAGCGCGTTCAAGCATATTGTTTTTGTAGTTGCCGGTTCACTAATGTTAAATAGTAATACTTTTCGGTAGGTTTTGACAAAAGTTAACTAATATTTTGGGTATGTAGCGCTTTCAGGAAAAAACAGTCCTGCAAATTATGTTTTGTCAATAATATGGAAAAGCACACGGCACGATAAAGGATTTCTAATATTTAGGCCCGTATCGTCAGTCGTCCCTACAATTGTAGGGCGCCTTTATGGCCTCCTTCATTGTCATAGTTTTCTACTTCTCCGTGTCAGCACTCTATTTTGAGGTTATGTCACAAACATCTATTTGCATCAAATTGTGCTTGCTTTTGAGTTATAACACGTTTTATCAGCCTGAAATTTCCTACAATTTAAAAAGAAAACATATCTTCACAATAGGAGAGCGCTGACGCTGACACGGGACAAGTGTAATCTAGAAATTTTTGAAGGAAAGGCGTATGACAATCAAGGAGACCATAAACGCGCCCTACAATTGTAGGGACGATACGGGCCTTGAAGAACAAGGTGATTCGTCTTTACGTTGACTACGGCACTGTCCAAAACCAAAGAGCACAACGCGCAGACACGTTACTTTCACGTGGACGCATGGTTTGACACATTACTGACGTTTATAATTAACCGTACTTAGGTTAGGATGGACAAAGTTTGGTATTTTTAAACAAGTGCGGGGCGCGGGTAAAATATTTTCAAACCGTATAATTCGTATCCATTTTAATAATTTCTTAAAAATGTCTACTGCACTAAGACTATTCGTTCAGAAAAATCAAGGTTTAGGAAGCCAATATAGGGTAAGAGTTGCTTTACTTGTTTGTACTTTGAACTACTGTATTTATAAATTTCTAGCTATACTGCAAAGGTGTTTCTGGTATACCAAAAAATAATTTAGAGAATCTAATATCTGCTCATAAACAAAGCCAAAATGGAGTATGTTATGATAAAAAGCCATTTAGAGTTACCCTTGAAGCAGGTGAGAACAGTTCATTTTAGCTCAAAACCACAGTTAACCAGTATTTGACTTTAGGTAAGAAATACTCCTGGTGTTTATGTGGCAGGAGCAAGACTCAGCCATTGTGCGATGGTACACATAGGCATCAACAATTGAAGATTACACAAAAGTGAGTTTTTCCCAAAATAACATATGTACTACATAAGTGGACTCTTATGCTCTTTGAAAGTAAATAGCACTAAACAAAATTCTGTCAAATAATCTGGTTATGTTGAAAAACATTTGGAATATTACTCTTGAATGCTATAAGTCACATATGTTTGCATGTTTTCATCTTATTTTTTTATTTAGCATAACTTTTGAACTATGTTTGAGCAGTGGTAATTAAATTTACTTTCAGACCTGTGAGGTTTGTAGTCGACGAAACTAAAGAATATTGGTTATGTAACTGTAAACAGACAAATAACAGACCATTTTGTGATGGGACTCACAAAACTGAGGCAGTAAAAGAAATGTCTTCTATAGTTAGGCAGTGAATTTGTAAATATATTTATATTTGTAGTTTTTTGTTGATAAGATTAAACACTTAAAATATAAATACTTTTTATTTTATGCACAATACAATAATAATCACTAAGAAGAAATACCCTAATAAATTACTAAGTTTTTTGCATTACGTTTTACTTCCTGCTTCATTTTCTTTTGGCTTCTGCCCTGATCCTTGTTCTATATTAGTTAACTCATGGTCCAATCGCTCCTTAGCTCTCACAATCTTTGATTGTATGTACAATGAAGTGTTTTCATTGGATTTGAATAGTGCCTGAAACCTTTTCTCGACCTCTTCCTTATCTAACTTCCTAACATTTAAGATTTGCTGTGCTTCCTCGAGTGAGAGCCCTAATTTGTGATTAGCCATCCGTTCGCCTCTCGTCTTGGCCTGGTTCATCTTCTGTGCAGCTTGCTGAGATGCTTCAATTTCTTGCTTGATTGCTCTTGCGAAAGCTCTGGCCACCACTTGAGTGCCAGCCAAAATCAACTGGGCTATGTACTTTGCCATTATTTGAATATTTTCTCTTAAAAGTTATTCCATCATAAGAAAAATTGTAAATGTTCATTGGAATAGGTGAATTTAACCTACAAAAACGAGGTTATCACAGGACAGTGTTGCCAGATTCGGCGTGAAAAATAACTCGACAAGCACGTGGAAATTATTGTACACAGTACCGTAGGTGGTATTGTCTTTTTCACGGGTATTCGTTACGGAAAAATAACAGTTGAATATTTAGTGTTATTTCAAAATTCCCCACATTGACGAATGACACAACTCTAGCGGATCCGTCAAGGCCAGGTAGGTAAAGCCGTATATTTTTTTGTTTTTTGTTGGCTACAGATTCATTTTGTACTTGCTAACAACTCTTATTTTAACAAAAAGTTCATTTGCATACAAAAAAAGGCGCTACAAGCAAGTTTTACCAATTTTGCACCCGATTCATTATTGCCAATGGTTACAAAGATGTCATTAGATTAGATTAATTCAGTAAACGTCAAAACGAGATAGATACTCGTGAAACTGGGTTTATACCATTATACTCTATTTCACGAGTATCCATCACGATTTGACATCTACTGAGGTGAAAAGCTGATCAGCAAGTTCTATTTTTGTGTTAGTCTGTAACGTTGGCAATAATGAATCTGGTGCAAATCTAGCAAAAACTTGTTTGTAGCTTTTTTTTTGTGTGCAAATGAACTTTTCTAAATAAAAGAGCTTTTAGCAAAGTACAAAATGAATCTTTGGCGTACCAAAATACAAAACAAAATATGGCTCTGTCTATCTAGCATTGACGGATCCGTCAGAATTATGTGTCCTTTGCCGATATGGGGAATTTTTAAATATTACTAGATCAGCAGCTGTTATACTCTACCGTGAAGGATACTCGTAAAATAGGGTGTAGCTTGCTAGCTATCTAACCTTAAAGAGTCTACAGCTACAAGTTAGGAGTTTCTTTAGTGAGTTCTCTCAACTCCTCGTAGCAGCACAACATTAGATGAGTCTTGACTCAAATTTAATTGAAAATTAAAATATATAATCCATTTAACTTGAGTACTATAGAAAAAATTCTAGGTCCCATGATTCATGTTCAGTTGAGGCAAAAGATTTCTGTCTCGGAGGGTATAGACAATTAATTGTTATGTTATACATTTAGCTATTATCCTGTACCTAACATAATTCAGTACTTAAGATTATCGTACGAAACCGATAATTATCATACATCTGGCAACGCTGCCACAAAACACATGACAGGATCATCAACAAAACCACAAAACATATGCACAGAATTGACACGGAACAACGAAAATAGAGATGGGATAGGATGTGAATCCATGTCAGCTCCATAGATATACCATTTTAATGTTAATTCTAATATGGGTGACTTTGAAGTTGAGTCATTAATTTTCAGATAATGATTGTAGAACGAAGTTAAACCAAAATATGTGTGTAAAAATAAAAAAAAAATTAAAAAAATGTTGCCTTGTTTTATAAAGTATCCTCCCGACAAGTATTTCAGTGCGGACCTGTATTTGATCGTGCGGTCTTGGAGCACTAGCATGCCCTCCCCTGTGAGGTCTTAAGTCACCTGATTCACGAGCCCTTTGTACTACATTAACAAAGGCACGAGGGGTTGGTTGCACTCGATTGGGAAACCGATCCGCATAAATCCGTGATGCCACGTAAATAAGAATCATGTCCACAAATTCAGCATTTTCGTAAACATGTGCCATTTTTGATTTCGTTTGAGCCACGCAACAGACACCACTATTCACTCACGCGTTACCGACTGACACTGACTGTATATAACTGAATAAAATAATTGTGAAAACATCGTTCCAAATTCTTTCGCTTTTTTGTTTCCGATGCGATGAACTGATAAGGCGGATTATATCCGTTGTTTTCAAACACGAGCACATAATATTATTATTGAGACAGGGCGGTACTCAAACTTCCAAAGGGCTATAACTTTGTTACTTTAATTTTATCAGATAAATGGTAAAGGAAAAAAACATTTCTTTTGATCAGATCTACTCACTGTTAAAATAAATGACTCAACTTCGAAGTCACCCTGTATATGTAAGTCATAGTTAATTGCCTTAAGAGAAAATATCCTTGAATTTCTTTGGGTAGAAGGCAAAGTTTTGCATAAGTACACTCTTATAACTTGAACTCGAGCTTTCGATGGTCTGTGCCATCATCGTCTGGAGCTACAAAACAATTTTTGAAAAATAGCAACAATAAACAATTAGGAGGAAAAAATATAATTACTTACTAAGTCGGCGAGATTGTTGCTGAAATTGTTCTTAAACGACAGTGAAAGGAATACATAGTCGACGAACAGAAAACTGGACCGATGAGGTTCGATTGGAACGAAATTATTTTATTAATAAATGGCACTTCTTCAATCGTGCATGTAATAACCTAAGACTCCCATTTACCTTTTATTTCTTTATGTTTTCATATAGGTACTATGATCCACCACTTAACATTTTTTGTCAAAATGTTGCTTCAATTCGTTTTCGGAATTTATAACTATGATAAAATTCCGGCAATCTACTTGATTCCTGAAGCTCGCCAACCGTACACGCACATACATTATTTCGGTGCTCAAAAATTGGTCTGAAAGCTCCAGAGCTTCAAATATGAGACAGTAGTAGAATACAAAATTGAATTAAGGAAAAGAAACCTGCTTTGAAAATAATTAGAACATTTGGTTCTGCTAGTGACTCATACATATAGCACTGGTATACAGTCCCGGACTGGGATCATTTGGGGCCCTCAGCTGAAACCTCTAAAGGGGCCCTGTACCGAGGGGTCTGGTGGGTGTAGAAATTATAAGCTTGAAAACGCGTTTCTTCGCTATTTTTGCATTTATAAAGAAAAAGAAATTCAGCTAGGTTTTTATACGAGTATTATGATTTTCGACTTTTGTCGTCTATTATTTATTAAAATCAGAAATTCACAGTATTTTTAGGATACCAAAAGACTACAAAACACATGCTGTAGAACTGCCAATAATTATGACGGAGTTCAAAATAAAGTGCAGCATTTCATTCACCCCAAAATATAATGATATATGACAAAATTATTTGTGTAATAAAAATACTGATAAATGGATGTTAGGAATTAGAAAAATAATACAAACATTTTTAACAAAATCCTGTGTAACAGTTTATAATGTGGTTATACTAGAATAGAAGGGTTTTCACCTAATCATTGAGATGATTCGACATTTACTCCCCTAGCCCTAAAGTAACAGCTTCTTTGTAAGCAACTCACTCGTTCAATCTACTTCATCTAGTATTTTATTTTTGTCCAAATCATAAAATAAGTCCCTCCCAACATTAATAAAAAGCAGACTGGACATAAGGTCTGGGCCTAAAGACGACCGAAGTCGATTTTTGACTATTTTAAGTTTAGAAACAAATACTGTTCAGTTCTTTACATCAATAGCTGTCAAAGCATGAATGATTTCTATCAAATATGTCCGCATCCCCATATATGTTTGACAGCTTTGACCCCCCAGCCATACTAGCCAAGCGGAAAGAAAATCGGGCATTCCTTTCATTGGGTAACCAATTGATTGACATCTGAAGGGGTTAGGGTGGCCTAGAACAAAAGTACCGATTAGTAGATTAGTACAACTGACGAGCAAACCCAACTCTACATATTTCTACAAGTCAACCACAGAAAGGTAAGAAATTTGTTTGTAATTGTCACAAAAATTCCTTAGGAAAAGTAAACAAAAACATACTTCATTTTAATTTATGAAATCTTACAGAGGCGATGGATAACAATTATTAATGAGTGTATTCCATATACCATAAAGCATCGCAATGCTACTGTTATGCCCAGGTCTAGGTAAGTTGCTTTTTCCACAAATCCTCAAATTTATATTTTTGTAAAATTTACTAATTGTTTGTTTTTAATTTAAATTAGTAAATGCCGTGAGTGGGAGAAAGAGAGGAGGAATCGTTTTAACGAAGCACTCACAAGTTTGGCTAAAGTGTTGCCAAATTATGACCCAACCGTGAATCTCGCAAAATTAGACATACTTCATAAAGCAAAAACCACAATAGTAGAACTGCAAGCCCAAGTTGCTACTACCGGAGATGCAGAAGAAAAGGAAGTTGTTAAGAGTAAGTACTTATCTCACATCAGTTTTAAGTGCTACAGAGTAAATTTATCAACTTGAGAGGGTTAAAGCACTGGGCATGGTTTGATACAAAACTACAAGTTCATTCATTCTGATTTACGTTTTATATACAGTATTCATTTCTTGGGATATTTGTTGTGTTTTCATGTATCAAACTGAATCCAGTAACCGATCTTTATAAGCAACAATTTTGTTTTCTCATTTTAGATAATTTGATCAAGAAATTTCAAAACAGAATCAGAGTGCTATTAAGTCGAAATGAACAGTTAGGCAACCTACTCAAAGATGCTAAAATTACAATACCTAAGCATTTGGAACCTATCAAACTCAAGAAGAGTCTTCCTTGGTCTGGGAGAATCAAGTCAGAACAAGCAGAATACTTTCAAAAGAAAGAGATGGAAAGTGAGCTTATACATTATACAATATTTAAATTCATACACTTATTTCTTTGTTAATTTATAGAAGAGAATGTTACTCAGTCCAATCATATCCATACAAGGATAAGGTGTATAAAAAAACCACCCAAGAAAACAAAAACTCAGTCATGCAAGAAGAATAGTATAAATAAAGCAGCAGTTGGTCCTAAATGTGTCCTTGTATTACCTCAAACAAAATATGGGGATGGATCAAGAAGACAAAGATGTTCCATTGCTCCTTCTAAATATTCAGGTAAATAAAACTTGAAGTTGACAAGTAATTGAAACGTAGCTATATAGGGTCACCAACTCAAACATTATATAGTTCAAGTATCCATGTAAATGGTTTCTCACTATCTTGTTCTTGGTTTTGATTTATCGCTTATTGATGAGACTGCATATATTTAGACAGCATATAGAACCACCGAATTTTA